ACAAAGTAGTTAAGAAATGAAATTATCTTGAACTTGATGGTAAATTATGACATGATGGTTGTGTGGTTAACATCGAAGGAGAAAAGACAAGTTGTTGGAAAAAAAATCAAGAAAAAGCGCAGATTTAAAGGTAAATGTTTTTGATTAGATTAGACTAACTTTAAACAAAAAATTATTACACTAAATTGTTGCATAATAATTTTTATTTTATGTAATGAATTATATTTTATATATTAATTACTTTAATATTTTATTCACTTTTATTGTAGAATTTAAAAAAAAAAACGAATGTCACATTTCTTTATTTTTGCAAATGTTGGCATTTGCTCAAAATTTTTAAAAACGAACACATTTTAGCAATTTTTTTTCCAAATAATTATGCGATTGATAGTTTTATATTTATTATAAAAAACACATACAAAAACACATATTTGTTATGAAAAACACATGTTTGTTATGAAAAACACATGTTTATAAAAAAAAACAGTTGTAAATCATGCTAAAACTTGATTACTTTCTTCAATAGCATTACTTTTAAGTAAAATAATAGCATTACTTTAAGTATGCTATCAAAGAAAGTAGTTATATTTGCGCATGTTTTTTGCATGCCTTAACAAAAGCATGCAAAATTTTACTTCAAATGAATGCATTTGCATTTACTTTAAAAGAAACCTTAAACATTACAATTGCTTTTTTTCTATAGCCTGTCTATGTTGTTAAATTTTTTTATTTTTCTTAAAGTGAAGTAATCTTTATTTGCATATTAAAAACACCTTTCAAAGTTTTAAAAGAATTTTTAAGTTTTACTGAAATATATATTATCTAATAGAATGTATATAACTATTATGTTTATTTTTTTTCATTTTTTATTGCAAGTTTAACAATAAAAAATGAAAAAAGAAAAAAGAAGATATTTTTATTAAGTTATTATTAAATATTTAATATGATATTATTTTTAAAAGTTTTAAAAAAGAAATGTCAAAGCAACTTTTAGTTTTAGCTCCTTTTATTTTAATTTCTTCAAGTTAATACTTTTTTTTATTTGTAAATAATTTTTTTTTTGTAGTTAATGTCCTTACAGTCTTATCACAGAGCACCACGGGAGTGCATTTAACAAGAAGTTCACGCCTACTTCTGTACCAATGTTGCTTGTTAGGCTAGAGCTGGCATCGAACCTCCGACCTCTGGGTTCAAACCAGAACTCTAACCACTGTGCCACGGCTGCTCAAATTTAGCAAATTAAATTGAGAAAAATTCATTATTTAGTATCAATGGATAACAATTTACAATCATTAGGTCATTGCATATTAATTATCACTAATTTGCGCGCACTTTTCAAATGCATAAAAAATTGTTTTGATGAAATAAAAAATGATTAAATTCAATAAGAATAATTGATATATCTAATAACTTATTTACTAGAATAAAATTATTTAATAATAAAACTTTATACGACATATATCTCTTAAATTAGACATTCGTCTTTGAATAAAGATACAAATGTCATCGTTCGTTAAAAAAAAACGATTTGTAACGCTCTGGCTTGTAACAAGTATAAAATCAAATTTTGTAAATAATAAGCAATTTTTTTAATGAATAAACAGATAGTGCATGCAAAAACCTCTTGTAAGAAGCTATTTAGAGCACCAGCTCCATGGCTCGCCATGTTTGTTTTAGGAGAGCTTTTTTCCATTCTCGCACTCATTTATTCCTGCCAAGGTCTGATGTTACAAACAGGGTGTTACACTGCTGTTTTTAAACTGGGATATGGTAGCTTTTAAGAAGATTTTCAAAGATTTTTATTGAAATACCTTTGTTTTATAACATATTACAATATTAAAGATTTTCTAGTGTTGAAAATATAGGTATTTTAGGTTTTTAAAAATTTAGTGATTTGCCTAAAAATTCTTTGTTCCTAAAAATTCAGAATAAAAGCTTATCTGTGTAGTTAAAATTATTTACAATAGATTAGTTACATTTAATTAAATATATTGTGGCAATGATTGCAGTGTTTATAGTTCTTAAAGCATACCAATTATTTTTTTATGCTGTTTGTTTGATATCTGGTTTTATTTACCAAAAAGATTGATATGGAAACTTTTCAAAATATTCTTGTTTTTTTCTCTAAAACAAGTGTACAGAAGATTGTACACATCAGGATATTTAGCAATAATTTAAATTTATTTTTGCATTGAATTATTATTAAAGATTTGTTTTAAAAAAAGTGGAAGTTGTAAAAGTAACTTAAACATTGTTATTTATTAAATTTGGTTTTAGTTCTTTTCTTAAACTTGTTGGTAACATAAAAAACAATGTGGTTTTTAATAACATATAGTTATTTTCTGTTTTATTTGTGGCTACAACAACAGGATTGCATTTATTTACGTTATTTCAGCTGTTTCTCTAGGTTTGATCTTTTTGGAGACTAAAATTATTTCTTGATATAATTGTCTAATAAATAATTCTCCTTTATTCTAATGTACTTCATTTCTTCCCTCAGGCGTTCACTGCTCGTGTGTGACCATTCGGCGAATTTTATATGCCAAAGTTTTTAAATAAAATTATATTGTTTTTGATATAAATCATAAATTGCTTTAAAGTTAAGGTGCAATTATAGTGAGAATTTTTTGTTGAAACCATAAAAGAAAAGACTTTACTTAATATGTAAAAAATTATAGCAAAATATTTTCTTGTAAATAAAAGCAGTTCAATCGATGTATTTGTGTTTGAGAAACAAAAGAAAGAATTTTCAAAAAAGTTTATTTTGTGTATTTAATGTGTAAATATCTCAACAAAATAAAATTGAGGATTTTTTTTTGAAGTTATTTTGTAATTGCTTATTAAATAAAACTAGTTTTTTAAAACATTATATTTATCTGTTTTAAATAAAACTTGTTTTAAAACATTATATTTATCTGTTTTAAATAAAACTTGTCTTAAAACATTATATTTATCTGTTTTAAATAAAACTTGTTTTAAAACATTATATTCATCTGTTTTAAATAAAACTTGTTTTAAAACATTATATTTATCTGTTTTAAATAAAACTTGTTTTAAAACATTATATTCATCTGCTTTAAAGAAGTTTAAAATAAAAAGATTATTGAGGGGTTTTAATTATAACTATAAATTATAATTATAATAAATTTATTTAAAATAAAAACAGACTGAATTAAAAGGACAATAAAAAGAATTGAATCAAGAACACTTTTAAAACACAAATATTTAATTTTGGAGTTCTTTACTCTACCCTTTCTCTCTCCTTTAAACCCCTTCCCTACCCCTTTCCCTTTAGCACAATTCATTTTACCACAAATAATTTTATTTTTTACTTATATCCAATTTTTTTTTTTTTTTTTTTTTTTCCACCTATAACTTAAATTAATTAATCAAAAGTAGCACAATGTTTTATTAAAATTAATATTTGCATTTTAAATCTTAAATAAGTTATTGTTATATTATTTTAATTGTCAGGGTTGTTTGCGAACTCAATGGTCCAGATTATCCTACTGATGGCACTGTTACAGTTGAAGTCAATTCTACCACTTTACATACAGTAGAATGGAGTTCTAAGTTTCATTTTCAGGTTTGTTTATTCTGGTTTTTAATACAAGGGAGAATGAGAATTTTAAAAAAGAAAATCTCATCAGAATTGTTTAAAACATCCAAATAGCTATCATTTTCTTATATTTCATTATTTCATTGAAAATTCATTTCTAAAGTCACATATTTTCACTTTTTTTTATTTATATTTTTTGAAAAATGAATATTTTCTATTTACTAGTAATATATTCTAGTTTATTTTCCATTTCTAACTATTTTCTATTTATGATTTTATTTGTTTACATATTTTTTTAAACATATAAACCGATAGATTATTATAAAATAGATGTAAAAATTGTTTACACCAATTCATTTATCAAGAAGTAAGAAACTTTGACAAAAATCAAGCCACTATGATTAATATTGTATCTGGTTCGTTTAAAATATTATTCCATTGAGTTTAAAAAAATATGTAATAAATGAAGAATAAATATAAATTAATAGTAAAATTAAAATTTAGCTAGAATTGTGTTTTTATTATGTAATTTAATTAAATAAAAAATTATTATGTAAAACAATTAGACGCTAATGACATGGTTAGCATTTAATGAGAACCTTTAATTTGTGGTTAGGGATGTGGAGTCCCAAAGAAGATTCTGAATTTAGAAATTTGAAAGTCACAAAATTTGAAAATTTGAAAGTCACAAAATAATTATTTCTTCCTGGTTTTTGGTATCCAGGAGCTCCAAAATTGTTCTGAGGTTTATGGACTACTTTTGAGTAAAGCGGGAAAGACTTTTAGATGAGAAAATCAAATTTTGAACTGTGAATTCTTATGTTTAAAGGCAGTAAGGATTTCAGGACTTCGACGGGATGGGATTCTGGGCTAAAAGACAATTGGTTCTAAATCATAAAATCTCATAATTTTTTTGATTATTGCGATCATAAGTCATTCAATACTTTTACTGGTTTAAAGATTTAAAGTCTTTTTCCCACATTCGGAGTTCAACACAAACACAAAGCCGGAGTTCTTTTTCTTGGTTTTAGGTTACAAATAGTTTTTTTTTGGTTAGCCAGATTTAATGTTTTTGTTAGCACATTTTTTAAATTTTTTTTATTTTAATTCACCTCCCCAAGGCCAAGAAAGCCACTACAATTGAAGGTAATCTTCTCAATTGGATAAAAGCTTTTCTACTTAACAGGTCTCAACGAGTCATCCTTGGTGACACTCATTCAAATTGGTTACCTGTGACAAGTGGAGTTTCGCAAGGATCAGTCTTGGGTCCAATTTTATTTGTCATTTTCATTAATGATCTGCCAGATGTAATAAGCAAAGAAAACATTTGTAATATCTACATTGATGACACTAAAATTCTGAGCAATGTCAACTCACTTGCTGCTTAACTTCAACTCCAATCAGATATTGACCAAATTGTTCATTGGACTACGTCTTGGCTCATGGAGCTAAATGCAAAAAAATGCAAGGTTATAAACTTTGATCAAAAAAAAATTAACTTCTTTCAAGTACTCAATGGAGGAAATATGCCCTTGTTCAATAACAACTCGAACTACATTGGAAGCAACCATGTCTGAGTGTGACTTGGGAATTCAAATTACCAATGACCTTGAAATAGAAACCCAACCCATCATTGCCTCATGTAAAGCAAATAAAATGGTAGGCATCCTAAAACACACTTTCCAGTCTCGTGATTTTATGGAAACAACTTTACTCCACCTACGTCCGTCCTTTACTTGAGTTTGCAATTTCAGCTTGGAACCCTCATTTGGTGAAGGATGAGCAAACTATTGAGCTAATACAGCGCAGAGCCACAAAAATACCAGACAAACTGAAAAAGTTAGACTACAAGTTCAGATGTTTACAACTTGGCCTATCTACTCTAGTTGAACGTTGCAAACGAGGTGACCTCATCCAAAAATACAAAATTGTTAATAAATTGACATAATCAACTGGCACTTTGCCCTCATCACAATTCCACCAAGAGCAAATCACAGAGAAAGACTTCATTGTGAAAAGTACAGCAACCATTTAGCTCGCTTCCACTTTTTTAACAATCGCATTGTCAATGCATGAAACATACTACCAGATAAAGTAATCAATTCTCCAACTGTCAACAGTTTTAAAGCAAGCCTTGATAGGCTCTAATGTTACTACGGTTCGCAGCTTTCCTTAGTGAAAATTGCAATATGAGCTTCACAAAAACTAACTGTAATCTGACAATCTATGATTTGTATTTTGTCAATTATTTTTTACTTTTGTTGTAACAAATATATACTACTACTACTATTACAGGCAAGGAGACTACTTAATTGTGGTTTTAACTCTCTCTCAACTCTATAACTCAGAAACACGAACCTTGACAAACAAGGCCGCTGCGCAGAGAAATAAGTTGAGCGTGGTACTACCAGGGACATAGTAGGGATCGAACTCAGAACTTCTCACTTATGAAGCGAGTGCTTTACCACTACACCACTACTGTGTAAACTTTACTGTTACGGTTTAAAATTGTTAAATAAGTTAACCACTGCATTAAAGCCAATTGCTTTAATGCAGTGGTTAACTTTATTTTGTCTGACACAAGGGTAATGTCTTAAGCTTAAATGTTTAGCATAAATTTGTAATAACATTTTTCTAAACTGAAAGTATTTCCATATTGAAATATCCTTCATGCTGATCATATATTAAGTTTAAGGCTTTAACTTTGTTCTAAGCCATTAGCTGATCCATAGGTTCTAAAACAGCCAGATTCTTCATTTGAACATTGAATTATTTTGTATATAGTTGATTTTGTAATAATCTCTGCTAAAAAATGTTCTAAATTTTCTCATTTTTTACCTTAATCTTTATTTTCTTAATAGAACTACTACACTCGCTCTCAAAAAGTGAATCTAAAATCTTAAATCTAAACATTTTTAAAAATGACAATTTTCAAGCATTTTATTAGTATACATTAGAATTAAATTTTAATAAATAAATTATGTTATGCAGTGATTTAAACCTTGTCAAGATTTCAAGTGAACACCTGTTATGATAAACAATTGTGGTTTTTATAATTTAATGTGTTATTGCATCTTCATTGTGTTGCATATGTTATTGCATCTTCATATATGTTTAATTAGACTTCAATTAGTCTCTTCACAGGCTTCCCAAATTGATAACTTTAAGTAGTTTCGCTACTTTGTGTTTTAGAATCACTAGATGAAGTTTTTTCTTTTGCATTTATAGAAGCAATTATGATAATATTTTCATTTAACAATATAATAATATACTAATAAAAGTAACATTTATTCTGCATTGTCGAGTTTGTATTTATCTAATATAAATAAAGTATATATATTTATGTAAATATATATTTCATAATAGCTACCTTCAAACTGAATGTTTATCTGATATTTAAACATTGCAACTAATAACACATTAACATAAAGTTTAAATAAAAAGATATTTTCTGTTTGTTCATAAACAAATGGCTAAGAGAGTATTTTGTTAATTTATCTGCATTCTACTTTGTCATAAAAAGTCTGCACGAAAACAGATTCCCAAAGATAAAATACCAATTGTAATTTGGTCACTTTATCTTATTGGTTGAAAAAATTATTTTCTTTTTTAAAATAAACTTGAGTTTAAAATATAAGTTTTTTGAAAATTTTTAATTAAAATTGAACTTTAATTATTATTATTGAAACATTGATAAAAAAATGATATTTTATTAGATTTATATTTAGCAAATAAAAAAATACATTTGTGCTAAGTTTGCTTATATGGTTTTTAATTTTTTATTTTTCATACCTGTTGGTTTTATTAAGAATTTAGTATTTAATGATTTTTTATTTTAATAATTTTTATACATTAATATCTATGTTTTAAATTTTAACAATTCTTTATAACAGGAGCCTTTAGTCTTTAAAAATTCGCCTGAAGTTGGACCATGTTCTGGGGAAACAGTTATCTCAATAGAAGGGAAAGATTTAGATATAGGAAACAATGCTGTGGTTAAAGTAGCTGGGGTGGCTTGCAACAAAATTAAAAGGTATTAAAATTATTTTGGTGATAATGATACTTGAAGCAGCGTTGGTCGTGTTGTAATGACTATAATGATGATGATGATGATTTTTTTTTTAATATTTATTGTTATTTTTTATTTGAGACTTAGGTTGACTTGCTTTTGAAAAACTTTTTTGTTGGTAATATTTGGGTCTGTAATTTTCTAATAAAATGTGAGAGAAGTGGCATTAGTTCATCCAAAATTTTAAACTTTTCTAAATTTTGATATATTGATTTTTTCCTAAGTGTATTATAGTTTTATTTAATACTTTGTTTGTTTCCAGATCTAAAACGGTTATAAATTGCACTTCTGCTCCTGGTTGTTTACAAATAGCAAAAGAAGCAAACTGTGAGTCAAATACAAAGCGCAAAAAAAGAGATGTGGCTTCAATGGCTTCAGTGATGGTTGAAATTGATAATTTTAAACTTAAAGTACCAGACAATGTTAAGTTTGAATATAAAACAGATCCACTAGTAACTCAGATATACACTTACAAAGAATCTATTATTCTTGAGACATTTGCGAGGTTTCTTAAATTTGTTTTAACTATTTAAAATATTATAGTTATAATGAAACATTTCATTATTTAAAATCTTTAGTTTTTAGTTTTATCAAGTTTATTTAATGATTCTTGGAGATAATAAATTTAATCACAGATTCGTATTTAATAGTTTTATTATTTTAATTTAAAATAAAAGATTATTCATTGCTACCATATTGTAAAAATATACCAAACAAATTAAAGACAAAGCTGTTCTTTAACTTAATTTTTTTTATGTGTTCAACTATAGTTTTAAGTAATATTATACTTTTTTAATGTGAAATGAGGCATATGGTGTGGGAATTTTTGCTATCTAGTAATGATCTTATTCACTTAGTAACAGACATGACATTTGGCATTTACATAAATATATTAAAGATATAAAGCTTCCCTATGTTGATACTAATATTTTATTACTTATTGTTTTATTACTTTTATTACTAGAAACCTATCCTCTAACTCATCTCTTAAATCTAATGACTGCACACTTCTTGTTATCCCAAAGAAACAGCTCAATCCACTGCTAAGTATTCAAATCACTTTTGCTTCTGTTTCTAAATTTAATTTCCACTTAAACTCTTCCACAACTTGTGATCAAAACAACAATCCTACATTAGTCTTACAAAAGTGTTCTTCAGAACTATTTTCATTACTCTCTAAACAAAACATTTTCAGCACATTATAGTTGCTTAGCTGTCTATTTGTATGTTTCTTTAGTGCAAGACACTGGTTTTTCAATTTTGTTCTTAAGGTTGGCATTCACTTTACTTTAGAAAAGTAAGTCATGAAAGATAAATCATAAAACATGACTTAGGTTTTTGCATTGTTAGATGGTTCACTTTTAGACTTTAGATCCTCTACAGATTCACAGTATCTAAGTCAATAATACAATACAGTGATAACTTGTCCTTAATCGCCTTAAAATGTCTACATTTGTAAGCAATTTTAATACCCTGGATTTCCTGGAATTTGATTTTTCAGGATATGAATCCGAGTCAAGCTATTATAAATCTATTAATAAAAGCTCAACGTTTTTAAAAAATTTTGGCATAAATTATCATGATTTTAATGATAAATTATGATAATTTCATCTTCATAAAATTATTAAAAATTAAATGATAAATTTAATGTATGAGGAATAAAAATAATAATAAAAATGCCTACAATCCATCTCATAAAAAATACTGGCGTATTGGCAAAGCATGCTTAGGTTAAACAGGCAACACCATTAATTCAATACCAAATTTGATGAAGTTAATACAAGTAAATGATAAGGGAGTGTACAAAAGTTAATGAGCATCATAATGTTCAATTGCTTTTTAGAAACTTGGAAAATATTTTGCAACTTAAAGCATTTTCACACTCTTCAAGTTCAATTCAATGATTAAAAATTTAAGAACTTTGTAAAAAAAAGTAATTTAATATTAATTTGAAAAGTTTTTCTTTTCTCATTTTTTTCAATTTCATGCTTTATGGTTGTTATTATATAGACTGATTACCAACTCCATAACAAAAACGGAGGAAGCCAAGAAGGTGGAAAATGAAACAAAGGTGAATCAACTGAATTCAACAGATATCAAACAAATATGGCCAGTGATAATGATAGGTGATGAATCTAACTTAATAAGCTGCATAAACCGACCGCATAATAATGACGTTGGAGTTCTAGCACTGCTCACAACCCAATTGTTTAAAGTCATTGTCTTATAAAACTAATGTTAGTATTAGTTTTAATTTAAAATTTTCAAAAAGTTTAACTTAAACGTAAAAAATTTATGATAAAGCATCTATCAAGTAGCTATCACCTGGTATAAAGCAGAGCCTAGTTTACGAATGTAGATATTTTCAGGAGAATAAAGACATGTTATCACTGTTTTTTATACTTTATTAAAAAAATTCAGAAAGCAAAATTTCCTAAATTTAAAAAAAAATTTGTTGAAAAAATTCTGGCCAGAAAGAGATTTATATTTATGTAGTTTTTTATCTTTAAGATTGAAAATGAAAGCCTGCACCTCAACATCATATATATATATATATATATATATATATATATATATATATATATATATATATATATATATATATATATATATATATATATATATATATATATATATATATATATATATATATATATATATATATATATATATATATATATATATATATATATGTTATGTATGTATATATATATTTATGTATATATATATGTATGTATATATGCATATATACATACATACATACAAATATATATATATATATATATATATATATATATATATATATATATATATATATATATATATATGAAATATTTACTATATTAGGCATTCTATACTTTTTAACAATTTAAAAGTTAATAAACATTTGAAATGAGACTATTGTCAGGGGCAGGTAAAATTTTTGATGAAAAAGGAGTTTGTTGCCCAAAACTGGATAGCAACTAGGCAAAGCTGCAGATATGCGGTCTAAAATTATTTTATTTTATCGCTTGTTGCGCTTTCGTGTGGAAAGCACAACATTTTATTATCTTACAGCCTGATGCTACAAAAGAGTGCTCCTACATCCATTATCTTATAGCCTGCTGCTACAAGGGAGTGTTGCTACATCAACTATCTTATAATCTGCTTTTACAAGCAAGTGCTGCTACATTGACTGAGGATTTGGCATAGGGCAGTAATCTTTTTTCTTATATTATTTGAATTAAAATTTCTAGTGTTTAAAAACTCTCTACTAACAAGAGCACTAACGAAAAAATAAAGTTATTTTAAATCGCTAAACTGTAGCTTTACCTTAAAGTTACATTGTATTTGTTTTTTATTTTTTACCTAGGTTTACCCATAGCTCTTTATTGCCCTGTACGACAATGATTTTATGAATTAATTTACATAGTCTGTCACTTGTCTCAAATAAATTAAGTAAAAATTAAAATCTGGCATTCCGGCCTAAAATATTATAATTCCAGCCAGAAACGGAATGACCTAAACGTCATAAATTACTGCCGCAACAAAATTCCTGTACATCCCTAATTAAAACCATTGAATAATTTAAAAAGTTGAATCATATTTTCTAGTTGTCTCCTTTTTGTCAAGGTAGTCAAGTCGAGAGCTTTTAAACGATTCTCATAGTTGATTTTTTTTTAAGTGATGGTATTAGTTGTTAGACTCTTTCTAATTAGTCAATTTCTTCTTTTTAAATAGGTGACCAAACTGGTACCGCAAACTCTAACAGTGGTTGCACAAAAGAAACATAAAGTACTCACAGCAATCTAATAAATAAACAAATAAAGTATTTTCTAATCTTACCCAACATTTGGTTGGTTTTGCCTGCGCATTTTATTACATTATTGCTTGGGAAGATTACTTCAAGATCACTTTCAGATTCTGTTATGTTTAACTTTTGTTCATTGATATAAAGGGGTGATTTTTTGTTATTCCGGCCAAAGTGCATGACCATACATTTCAAAATATTAAATTTCACAAGCCAGTCTTGTGAAGCCAGTCTTGTGAAGCCAGTCTTGAGTCCACTTAAAAGCTAAATCAAGATCTGATTGCAAGAGTTGATGTGGTTTGATGGAAAGTGTTTCATTCAAAATTTTGGTGTCATCTGCATACAGCTTGATTAGGTTTTTTAGAGTTTCAAGCAAATCATTTATAAAAAGTACAAACAAGAGTGGGCCAATTACTGACTCCTGTGGCACACCATTGGTAATTTCTGCCTAATAGGATACATTTTCATTTATCACAACTCTTTGTTTTTTTTCTTTTAAAATTTCTTCAATCCTTCATATTTTAAGACCAGATATTCCATAAACTGTTACTTTAAGCAACAATCTTTATGTGGCACTGTGTCAAATGCCATGGTGAAATCCAAAAAAGACAACATCAACAGGTTTACGATTTTCTAAGGCAGTTGAAATAAAATCAAGTGTTTAAAGTAGATTCTCTGAGCATGATTTTCTTTAACAAAACCGTGCTGTTGCTTGACTATTAGTTTGAACTTATATAGAAAAGTTTCAAGTTTACATCTGATTATACCTTCCATTATTTTACATCTAATTGAGGTGAGTGATACCAGTCGGTAGTTTGCTGTTAGGGTTTTTTCACCTTTTTCATACAGAGGAATGATATTTGCTGATTTAAATTGCACTGGTAGTTTGTTGGTTTTAAACAACTCTATAAAAGTATACGTAAGTGGAATGGCAAAGGCTGATGCACAATTTTATAAAATAGCTGAATGTAAATTATCAACACCACTTGATTTGTTATCTTTTATGTTTTTTAATCTTAGATAGACATCTTCATATGTAAAATCTTCATGAATGATATTGATATTTTCAACAGTGCATGCAATACTTGCCCTCTCAAGTAGAATAAGTTAACCATTTTAAAAAAATCACATTAGAGATCTTTTTTGATTTGTCAAAGGTATCTGACTCCATCAATCATAATACTTTATTATTACTCTTATTATTATTGTTGTTATAATTTGACACCTTTAGTGTACCTTATATATACACATACATAGACTTTTGTGTATGTATGTGTATATATACATATATACATATATATATATATATATATATATATATATATATATATATATATATATATATATATATATATATATATATATATATATATATATATATATATATATATATACATATATATGTATACATATATATGTATATATATATATATATATATATATATATATATATATATATATATATATATATATATACTATGAGCTTTTGTTTCAGTAGTTCTTAAATCAGAAGAATGCAGCAGACTATTATTTTCTTTTACAAATGCAGCTTGAAAATTTTTGTTTAAGATATCAGCAATATCTATCAAATTTTGAGTGGTTTTACCATTTGCTCCCTTTAATGCTTTTATAGAATCTTTGATTGTTTGTTGATTGTTTGTGTAGCTGAAGAAGCTTTGGATTCTTGGTGACTCTTTTTTACCAGATTAAACTCAAAGTTTTGTCTCACTTTTTTAATCTCATCTGCTACATTTTTGCAAATCATTTTGTATTTAGATTTTAAAACCGGGTCTTTCCATTTACATGAGCAGTTTTTATATCTTAAATTTTGTTTGCTTCTAATAAGAAACTTTAACCTAGCATTAACCCAGGTTGTTTAAAGAGTTTAATGTCTTTTTAATTTGAGAGAAATGATTACATGCCACCTCAGTATAAAAAATCAGTTCATCAAACATTTATTGTACATTTTTATTACTGAAGCATTGCATCCAGTCAACATTTGAAATTAGATCAGATATTAGTTCAAAATTGGAATTAGCAAACATAAATCTTTGCTTACTTTGTTGTCACGGATTGCTTTATCAGCAAGATGAAACTAAAACATATTATTAGATGGCCTCTGTTTGTGTTTCCTAAAACAAATTTTGAATTTATTTCATTAAAGGGATCCAAAACCTCTGAGACATATTGTGTTCATAATAAAAAGAATGATAAAAAAAAAATGTTTGGGCTAAATTTTTTTGATTAAAACAAAAGAATAAATAAATACCAAGAAAAACTAACTTTTTTATTTTAGTTGAAGCTTGTCTTCTTCGTTTTATTGGGGGCCTAAAAGTCAGCACAATATATGCCGCAATCTACAGACTTGATAATTTATTCACGTGTTTTTTATTTCTATAGTTTCAGTACATAATGTCATTGACTTTTTTGTTTGTTTACATAATCAATCTCTTATGCAAACAAAAAAAGTCATGATTTCATGTACTGAAACTCTTTGGAATAAAATTTGCTTGAACAAATTATCAAGTCTGTAGATTGTGGCATATAATATGCTAACTTTTAGACCTTCAATAAAACAAAGAAGACAAGCTTTAACTAAAATAAAAAAGTTAGTTTTTCTTAGTATTCATTTATTCTTGTGTTTAAATCAAAAAAATTTAACCCAAACATTTTTTTATCATTCTCTTTAATATGAACACAACATGTTTGAGTTGTAAAGACCAAATCTAAGATATTCACAAGTTTTTCATGACAGCTGGAAAGTTGGTATATAAACATGCTGATAAAGACATTTATCATTTAAATATCTATAAATTTAAATTCAATTTTATTATCATTTAATATTGCATTAACACAGCCATTTGACCAGCTGATTGATGGGAAATCAAAGTCACCCATGATAAGTAAATCTTTGAACTTATTTTTGTCTATATATTTGCATGCCAGGCCAAAAACCACATCAAATTCTGCCATATTTAAAAAATCATTTGGCCTGTAGATACATCCGATTAAATACTTATCATTATCAAAATAAACAATTACCCACACTAGTTTAATGAGTTGTCTTTATATAAACAAATACCACCGCCTTTTCATCCACATGATCTGTCTCTTTTATACAGATGCTAACCTTCAATGTTTACAACTGAATCACTTTTATACCATGTCTCAGTCACAGAAATTACACTTGGTTTGCATTGTTCAATTAACACTTTGAACTCATTTAGCTTGTTATTGAGAGAGATAGCATTTAGTAGACACTGAATTGCTTAGAAATTTATTGATCTGATTTTTTTTTGAATTTCATATATATTTTTATATGTGTGTGTATATAAATTTGACATATATTTGTTATATGTAAATAAATATGCACACACAGATATATATATATATATATATGTGTGTGTGTGTGTGTGTGTGTGTGTGTGTGTGTGTGTGTGTGTGTGTGTGTATATATGTGTGTGTGTGTGTGTGTGTGTATATATATATATGTGTGTGTGTGTGTGTGTGTGTGTGTGTCTATACACACACACACACACACACACACACACACACACACACACACACACATATATATATCTGTGTATGCATATTTATTTACATATAATAAATATATGTCAAATTTATATATATATATATATATATATATATATATATATAAATTTGATATAATATATATATATATATATATATATATATATATATATATATATATATATATATATATATATATATATATATATATATATATATATATATATATATATATATATATATATATATATATATATATATTAATTACATTGTATTCTTATTATAAATATATTTTTAGTGGAGGTCAAGTTTTAAATGTTGAAGGGCAAAGATTAAATATAGTAAAACAGCCACAAATGACTTTTTATTCAGAAAGTCACAATTTAACAAGGAAATCAGTAAGTAAATTTTTTCATACAGACATGAAACATTTAAGACATACAGTAAATTCAATTAGTAGTAGTAGTAGTAGTAGTAGTAGTAGTAGTAGTAGTAGTAGTAGTAGTAGTAGTAGTAGTAGTAGTAGTAGTAGTAGTAGTAGTAGTAGTAGTAGTAGTAGTTGTTGCAATAATTGCAATAGTAACAATAGTAGCAATAGTAGCAGTAGTAGCAGTAGTAGTAGAAGTTGTACTAGTGGAAATAGTAGTAGTTATAAGTATACATTTATATAAGTAAGTTTCATACCTTAATTAAAATTTATAGGATTGTCAGTTTGTTTCCAAAACAGTGCAGTCCAAAATGATTTGCTTGGCACCAAATATTTCATCTGCTTTTGATAGCTCAGTTACTAACATTACTGTGATGCTTGGTTTTTTGCTTGATGGTGTGGTTAATGTGAAGTCATTTAAATATATTAAAGTGTTTGCAGATCCAGTTTTCAATACTTTTCCAAATATATTAGAAATAAAGACTTCAACACTTATTTTATCGGTTTGATTTTTCTTTTCAATATAAAAAATTTTTTAAATGTACGTAAGTGTTTTAAAATATTTTTGCATTATATTAGAAATAAAGACTTCAACACTTATTTTATTGGTTTGATTTTTTTTTTTCAACATAAAAAAAATTTTAAAATGTACAAAAGTGCTTTGAAATATTTTTGCATTTTAAAAGGGGTCTCGCTTCCGTGTACTTAGCAAAAAAGATGTGAATGTGTCTGTAGGAGAAAGTGAGTGCAGGGTAACAGACATTGGAGAAGTAAGTGATAAAAGTTAATAATGATCGGTTAAATAATAATTAACTTGTATATATTTGTGACAATGTAATAAAATAATCATTTTATGTTTACTTTTTAAAGAACTTGGTGTGTGAGCTTCCATCAGAGGAAGAATTAAAAGAAAAAAATGTGGGTCCAACTTATCCAGTTGTGGTAATATTTTTTACAAATTTAGCATTTGATAAGTTATAATTAGTTAAAGTTATGTTTCCAATGATTAATATAAAACATTTGTGTCTTAAATAAACAAATTTTGAAAGCAAAATTTCAGCTATGTTTATAAATAAGTATTCTGTTAAAAGTATTTTCATTATGTTTATAAATAAGTATTTTATTGAAAGTATTTAAAGTAATATTAAATGTTTGAAAATCAAGATGAGAAGTAAAATACATCGGATAACTTAAATACAAATTTTCGTCTTGAGTTTTTAATTATACTCTACTCTATTGAAGGGTTGCAAAATTTCGTTTCTTTTAATTAGGTTTATGTCGGTGAAAAAGGAGCTGGACTAATATTCAATGTTGGTTCTATAACATTCTACATAGAACCTACTAAAGAAAGTTCATTAACATTGTATGTTACTGCTGCTTCAGTTGCTGTAGCTCTTTTACTTGTCATCATTGTTGTTTTAGCATGTTTGTATCGTAAAAAGCAGAAAAGACAAAAAGAATATCAGGCTTTATACCAAGTAAAAATGGATCGGATAGAGTCAAGTTATGCAAGAGAGTGCAAAGAAGGTAAGAACTAGGAAATAAATTATATATATGTAGATAAATATTCGCAGATTTTGGTGACTGACCCAAATTTCAAGGGCTACTATTTTAATAACTATTTTATTAAAAAATACTCAAATCAATATAAAAACATGGTTTATAAAGTGTTCAAGTTAAATACATTACCTTTTTTAATTAAATATTTAAGTTTTAACCACAATTTTTATAAAATCCAAAGTAATTTTAAACTTTGTACTTTCAATGGAAAGTTAATAGTTTAAATTAATCAGTACTTTTGTTGAATAGCGATGAAATAAAAGATGGTTTAAATCAACTTTGGTCAAATATCAACCCTAGTTGCTTAATAATTAAGTTAATATTACATGTAGCAGTGATAAATTTTTTTTTAATAGGATTGAATTTGACTGTAGCTACATTGGTTTGACTGTAGCTACATTGGTTTCAGATAATAGCATTTCATATACCATTAGTAGTAAGTGGTTTAAAATGATCAAATGCTAGATTGTTATACATCATTGGAAAGGGCTTTAAACTGTATTTTAAAGGTGAAAAAATTATTATATTTTAACAATTCTACATAGAATTGAGGTTTTTAGTAGCATATTTTTGATATATGGATTTGTTGAAGAAACTGTGGTCAAAATTTAATTTTTCTTCACTTAAATTGTTATAAATTTGTCAATTTTTATCTAAATACCTATAACTTGGTATCAAAAGATAAGTGTAACAGTGCGCTACAAATTTATAATTTCCGGGGGGCAAGAGAGGGTGTTGAACCACTACATTTACTGTAAAAATGTGCATTTTTCTTTCATTAAAGAGTGCTTTTTTCAACAGATTGTAATTTTTTTATACAAAAAGTTGCTATAGGTATTTTAGACCAGCAGCAATGATTGGTGTATATTAAGTTGATGTAGATATGGTAGTAATGGTTTAACACACTCTTGTTTCAAAAATATTTAATTCTTATAAATATTTATAAAAATACTTCTATATTTTTAATAATATAAGTAAAATTAGTATACAAGATAAAAAACATTAAAAAATAGGTGTTTTACAAGATTTTGCATTAATTGGTGGTGAACATATTGAGTTATATGATCTGAAATTCTCCAATTTAATAAAAAAAAGTTAGTTCTATTAAATTATGTTAGAAGGTGATGAAGGAAAAATATATAAAATTATTTATTAATTGAAGCTATTAAATTAAATTATAAAATTAGTTAAAGCTATTAAATTAAATTTAATAGCTTCAATTTGTTTGAGTTAATTCAAATATATGTCCCAATAGAATTTCATCTCGATGTTAGTGCCACACTTCTTTTGAGTCTCTCAACAATGTTTGTTATGATTTTTGGAAGGTTACAGGTGTGCAGGTTCTTTTTAACTTGAAAAAAGTTTTAAAAAATTTTTTCTGTTTTGGTTTTTCAACAATATTATACACTTTTTATGGATTGTTTTTAGAATTTTTGAGAGCAATTTTTTGAGATGCATTTGTTCTAAACTCCGCATATCATCTTCAATGGTTTTAGTGTTGTTTTAGCAGAATGTTTTCTTTTTCTTTTTCTTTGACTTTAAACATCATTTCTCGTTAAGTCAAGAACTAGATCAGCTGTGTAATATAATGCACTACCTTGTTTAATTTCTTTATTTATCACAGCATTGTTTTTAATGTGACATTTTTCTTTGTTTTCTTTTGCTACTTTAAACTGCAGAAAAGCTCTATTCACTGTTCTTCTATTTTTGAAAAGCTTTGACAAATCATTGGTGGTTTTTTGAAATTTTAAAATTTTGGTCTTTTGCAGTAACCTGTTCTGTTTCTACCTATAACACTTTAATAAATCAAGTAAAATATTCATTAAATTGTTCAGCCAGAGGTTTAGGTTTGCTGTATTAAATAAAATGAAATTTTTTTTTTTTAATATTATATATTAATAGTAATTTTTATTAATATGAGTTAAATCAATTTTTTTTTAATACTATATAAAAAATTTATAATAGTTGATAATTTAGTTTTTATTATAGTTGATAATATAGTTTTTATAATTTTTTTTTAAATATTCAGTTTAATAATATAGTTTTTTTTATACTATATAAAAAATTTATAACAGTTAATAACATAGCGGTAGTGGTGTAGTGGTAAATCCCTCGCCTCATAAACAAGAAGTTCAGAGTTTGATCCCCATCACATCCCTGGTAGTCAACTTGTTTCTCTAGCAGCGGCATTGTTCGTCAAGGATCGTGTTTTGAAGCTATAGAGTTGAGAGAGGGTTGTAAGCACAATTAAAAGTAGCCTCCAAGACTGAAGTGACCTTCATGGCCTTGATGAGATGAATTTAAAATAAATAAAAATATTCAACAAGAGAAAATATTTTATGATTTATTAATTATTTAAAAATTTTTCAATTTTTCTATGTAGTTTATTTTATAAAGATCAACTAAAGTTAAAAATAGTTTTTTGGTTTCTTTAAAACATAAATATGATAGATATTTAAGTGTTTCTATTTTGCCAGGTATTATCTACACATGTAAGATATTTAATACCAAAAAAAAAATAAAAATGATTATTCTTCTGATATTTTTTAACCAATTTTATAGGGTAAAAATTTCAAAATTTTCATATTTACATGTGCCTTATTCATAATGTTTTTTTTTTTTTAAATGATTCTTATATCTACTTAAACTTTTTCTTTTTTAATTTTTTAAAACTAAATTATTGTTTTGTAATTTGTTAATTTTTGTATATTATTTTTTTGCTTCTAATTTTGTTTTGTTTTGTTTCATTCAAAATATAAAATTTAAAAAAATAAAAAGGACCTAAAAACTACTTGAATATTTTTATTAAAATTAAAATTTTAAATTTGATTTAAAGTTTTATGATTTTAAATCGATTTCAAAAATATATTATTCATTTTTGGTCAATTTCATAGATAAAATTTTAATAGAATTTAAAATTTAGAATAAAATTTAAAATTTAGTTAACAGTCAATTTCAAAATTGTAAGGGCACTAATATTAACAAAATATTTTATTATTTGATAAATACAAAGAAAAAAAATTAAAAGTGTCAATAATGATAATTTAATAGGATTAATGCCCTAGAAAACGAAATATAAAGTTTTGGAAACTTTCTGGAATTTAATTGTTAAAAAGTTTTGGAAACTTACTGGAATTTAATTGTTAAAATATTGAAGCAATCATGTAATTGTAAAGTTTATTATATAAGTATAATAATATCAAATATAATAAAACAATATGATAATATCAAATAATATTGTTATCAAAATTCATTAAAATTATAATAATAATAATAATTTACTTTAAAATATAACCATAAAAATATATAATTTTATTGAAGTATGTTCATCAAAATTGCAGCTCAACTTTATTTCTAATAGTTCAAAAGATATTAGTAATAAACGCAAAAGTTTTTATCTTTATATTTATCATTTTAAATTTAAGTTTTTATTGTTATATTTTGTGATGATAAAGATATCAAAGGTTATTAAAATAAAAAAAAACCTCTTTAAAAGAAGTGACCTTCTTAAAAAAATCCTCCAATGTTTTCATTATAACTTAGTGAAAATTTTAAAATAATTAGTTTCTCTATTATTTTGAATAATTCATTTGATTTTTTATATTTTTAGCTTTTGCAGGATATATGACAGGTGTCTCTGATTTAACAAATGATGTTGCAAATCTAAAATTGCCTCCTCTTCATTTTCATCAATATGCTATGCGAGTTTTGTATCCAGGGCTTGTTCATCATCCTATACTAGAAGGTGATGTAAGTATTTTTTGCCTTTTTTTAAATAATTTTTTTTTATATGCACACACACGCATACACACACATCAATGAATGCAGATTTAGTGGCAGATAAAACATGGCAACAAATTGGAACAGTCATTAATGAGGGTTTCAATATATACACTGATTGAGAGTTTTGACAAGTAAAATTTAAGTGTGACACGAAAAGAAAAAAAAAATTCATTATTTTTGTTTTTCTTTTTTCCTAAAAAAGTGTCAATCGTGCAAAAAAGTGAACAAAGTATATTTTATATAGGCCTACCACCTTTTTTCTTTTCACCATTACTGCATATACCTTAATAATAAAAAGTATATATAATAAAAATAAGATGATAATAATAATAAAAAGTATAGACGTGCGCGACAGCAGAATAAGGTCAGAATAAGGTCAGCATGTTAAAACATTATGGTTGGTTTTTAATAAATTCATAAGCTTCAATACATACATCAATTGATATTTTGGGTTTGAGCTGACAAAATATACTTTTCTATAGAAAAATAACAAGTGGCATATTAGATTTTGTACAAAATAAAAAAACTAATATCTTATCTATAAATAAAGATTTATTTGTTTATTTAAGAATTGTTTTATGAAAAAAATCCATTAGCTGTAACAGTTTGTTTAACTTTTACAGGGAGATTGACTACGACTAGAAGCTTGTCAATCTCCCTTGTAACTTTCTGAGCCGAAGTGTTTCCAAAAGGTTCTGTTGATTATGCTTGAGGCACGATTGATAGGTTCAATTAGAACTTGGTAAATCTGCCCAAAATAAAAAGTTAAAGTTACTGTGATACTTGTAAATGACTCAGACAAGTTGATTTGTTAAACATTCATTTATATATTTCCAGACTCACTAAAAGTATCAAAAATAGCTCCTACTTTTAAATCAGGTGATCATACCAGCATTTCAAATGACCGTCCTATTTCAGTTCTCTCAGTTTTCTCTAAAATATTAGAAAAATTATTGTATAACAGCATCCACAATTATTTTGTTGGTACTAAACTTTTATACAATAATCAAATTAGCTTCCAATGAAACAATTCTACTGAACATGCCATACTCCAACTAACATGCAGCATTTCTGACAACAAATTGGGTAACAATCCATGAAAATTTGTAAAAGTAATGGATTTATATATAAAGCTAGGCTTATGTTAATTAAATAACAATTAAAAAAACTAGGTTGTTCCTTTATCCACTGCCATTTAAATTATCCAAGTAATGTTTGGAGAAGCACACATAAAATTAAACTTAAATGTCTTTATCAGCATTAAAAACACGCAACTTGCTTTAATTAATTTTGTAAATTGTTTTTTAAATTCAAAACCACTTCTAAGATAAATGAAAGCCAACATATACAAACTAAATGTTTATAATATTTTATGTTTTATGTTTAAATGCAAAAATCATTTATCTCCTAATGTATATTTATAAACCTTTATAATTTAAATCTCCAAGAACCATTCTGCTAAACTAATTTTGAACAGCTGTTTATTTCTTATTGTGATCCTTTTTTATGGAATAAAGTAGTTTTGCCTGATTTTGGTTTGTCTTTGAAATGGGCTTTAACTTCTTTCAAAAGCAAATTAAAAGAAGTTATCTTTTCAAAAGAAAATTTTTTTTTTCATTTTTCATATTTTGTTCCATATTTTGCATATAAAATATAAATATACTGGATATGTTTCATATCCAGTATATTTATATTTTATATGCACTGTTAAATATTGTTGAATAATTTTTAATGGTTTATTTTGATTTTTTTATAATTTTTTTTTATAGTTGATATTGTAAATGACTTCTTGCCAATTATATTTGTAATAAAGCTATTCTGCAATATTTATTGAAGGCAATTACATATATATATATATATATATATATATATATATATATATATATATATATATATATATATATATATATATATATATATATATATATATTTGCATAGTTTAACACTTACGGGGACAGATTTTACTAAAAAAGGAACACTTACGGGTACATTAGCATTATCGGAGACATAGTGTACCTGTTAATTTTTTGTCCCTGTAAGCATGATTTTTTTGTAAAAAAAATGTGCCCGTAAGCAACTTTTATAGAGAACGAAAAGTACACACATTGACTGACAAATAGCTTGACTCGCAAGGGAGTGCTGCTACATCAACTGAGGGTTTGGTTTGGCCAGGCATCAAGGTCAGGCTTAGGGTTAGGGTTACGGCAAGGTTTAAAGTTGGTTATATTATTGTAATTAATCATTTTTGTAAATAGATGAAGTTAAAAATGAAATATAATATAAAATAAAAAGATAAAAAAAACAAAAATTAAATATTTTTATAAAAATAGTATTAAAAATATATATATATATATATTTATATATATATATTATATATATATATATATATATATATATATATATATATATATATATATATATATATATATATATATATATATATATATATATAGTCTTGCATGGTAGTCAGAAAGTTTTTCCCATAAACTGTTGTTTTAAAGAGCGTGTTAATAAACAAGACCAGAAAAAGTTTTAAAACTTTAATAATTTTTTTTTCCCCTTAAGTAATAGACTGTCTGCTCAAACCAAACCCTCAGTCAATGTAGCAGCACTTCCTTGCTAGTCAGGCTATTTGTCAGTCGATTAAGCAGCACTCCATTGCGAGTCAGGCTATAAGATAGTCAATGTAGCAACACTCCCTTGTAGCAGCAGGCTATAAGGTAGTCGATGTAAGAACACTTCGCTCATCTTTTAAAAATATATTTTAATAAAACAACAACAATAACACCATTAATTAAAAAAAAAACTTTCTAGTCATTATTATTGTGGTTTTTTTAAAAAACAATAAAATTTAATGTACTTCCTCATTAATTTAATTGCTTTGACATTTCAACAATAAATAGTCAATAATGAAAGCAATAGTGGAAAGAGACTTTTTTACATTAAAAGTCTCTTTTGACTACACTATAAGGATATATATATATATATATATATATATATATATATATATATATATATATATATATATATATATATATATATATATATATATATATATAAATATTTAAACAATTTAAAATGTATTCTACAAAAAGAGTGCTTAATGTTCTTAAAAGAACAGAGCAATTACAAATTAGTAGAAAATCACTTAGCAAAATTAAAATGAGACAAAATTTTGCTAAGTGATTTTCTACTAATTTATATATATATATCAGGCTTTGTGATGAATAAAAACTGCGTGACGCATAAGCACGACGTGATTTTTGATGTCATTAAATTCTTTTTATTTGCTTTTCATATTTATCGACATTAACTGCACCAATTTACTTAATTACCGCAAAACTACTTTAAATCATTTATGTAGAAATGTTATTATTTAAAAATGTTTTGGAATGTTTCGTTTTTTAAAATGTAATAACATTTGTTTATTTTCTCGACATTTGACACATTTTGTCTATACTAAACGAATAAAAAACCTTATAACTAAACATTTAAAAAAGATTATAAAATATGCTAATATTTGATTTTTTTTTTCTCAAATATGTAATTTAAAGTTTTTCAAATAATTATCTTTTCTTTTTAAAAAGTCAGCGAGTTATAAACTGGAAATTTTAATATTGTACGATTAAAAACTGTGCAATAACTAATATTTTTACTAGCAATTTTATATAATACTTTTTTATTTTTATTTATTTTCATAAAGCGGTTGATAAGCACAATCACTCGTATTACTAAAAAAACTTTAACAAACGTTTTGAATAGATTTTTAATGGTTACAAGGAATTTTATTTTTGGTGAAATAAAATAAAATGTTAGAATAAAAATCTTATAGGTATAAAAGACATATTTCAGCGAAAAAATTATTCTTAAAAATTATTCGAAAAACTTTTGACGTTCTATTTTTAAGCAGCTGTTCTTGAGCATGCTTCGTTGAGTTTTGGTAACTTTTAACAAAAAAGCGATTGTTATTATTTAAGTAATTTTTTTCGAGTTACTTTTTACAAAAATTTTGATAGCTGTACTTTTTTATTGAATCAAGTAAAATATGTTTTAATATTAATCATTTTATTTTTTTATTTGCGCTTACCAATTTTTAAAATGTTTCCTCGAAATTACTCTTAAATACTTTAAATACGTCTAACAGTTAGTAAATATTTTTAAATCTATGGAATAATTTTAAAACCTAACAAACCCCTGTAAAATAATTATTCAAGTTAAAAATCTAAAACTAAAAGAAAGTATTTTTGTTCAATTTTATTGACAACTTTGCTATTGCTGAATAATTTTATTAAAATGTTAGCTTAAAAAGATTTAAACTTTTTTTTTTATCTGATTTTTTTCTACTTGTAAATAATGAGCATATTTAATTTTTTTGTAATTCAAACTTTTATATCAATTGCGTGCGGTTTTTAAAATACTTTATTAAATGTTAAAATAATCGTAAATTACTTCAATAAAATTCCGCTCAAAAATATCTTTAAATATACTCAAACAAAAAATTTTTTGCTCGACGCAAATAGCCCTTGCAACACGCAAATCGCTCTTGGACGACGTAAAATTCACATCGCCCGACGCTTTATCGCAAGGCCTGATATATATATATATATATATATATATATATATATATATATATATATATATATTTAATGCAAAAATTTTCTGACCTGGTTTCTATGTTTGATGGTAACCCCTTTGTGTCAATTTTTTTTACTCTAATGCGATTTTTTTTCGATCTAATGCCTCTAACAGTTTGAGGTTGGCAATTTATTGCCGATCATAACCCTAACCCTGACCGATTCCAAGATTTGTTATAATATAGATATATAGCGATATAAATTTAGATAGATAGATGTATCGATTGCTACAGTCTTAGAGGCAGGGAACACTGTCTTGAAAATAATTTGTAGAAAACAGTCACATACAGCTATCTATATATATATAATTTTTTGGGAGATTTTTCTTTTTCTACAAACTGAACAATCTTGGCAAATGTTTCTTTGTTGTTTGTGTAGCATTTAAAATTTTATTATTTTTTTTTTTATGATCAAAGTTGATTTTGTATTATGAACATACTTTCTCTTTTTGCTTTTGTTTGTTCAATAGTATATTTGGGGTGTTTTTTTATTTTATGTTTTCTGTATTGAATATTCTTTTTTTTTTTTTAATTGGCAACCAATTGGCAATTGATTTACACCAAGTTTGACTGACAAACTGACTCTTTTGTTAACTGAGGTTAAGCTTTTGTTAACTGAGGTTAAGCTTTCTTTCCACTAGTCTATAATTTCAGATAATCAGAGAGCTTTTTATAAAAAATAGATGTTTTTAAGTTATCATAGATTTTATTTAGAGCTGTTCCTTATTATTGAAATGATTTACAAGTTCACTATATTCAATATTATTGTAATGATTTACAAATTCACTATATTCCTTATTATTGAAATAATTTACAAGTTCACTATATTCAATAATATTTTTACAAAAAAAAATTTAGTTGTTTTTAAAAAGAATTTTCTTTTGCTGCATTTAAATTTTAATTTTAACCTCATTTTGATTTTATTTTCACCTGATAAATATTTCATAGATCTTTTATGCATATATATCGAGCCACATAACTTATATTTGCTAGAAAAATTAGATTAAAATTTGTCTAATAACATATGCAATACTGTTATTGCAATGTCTAATGGAACTAATGGCAAAACCTTTTTTTGCTTTTTCTTCAATTTTTTCTACTCCAAAATGTTGATATTAACTTGCTTATGTCTTGATATTTGTTTATAGTTAAATGTTTTAGTGACAAAGTTTTAATGAAATTTAGAAAGATGAAAGCGAAGAGTGGAAAAGTGCAATGCACTCGTTTATCAAACTTATGAAAGAACAAGATTTTACTTTGACTTTCATTAGAACTCTGGAAAGTCAGTCTAGTTTCCAAATGACAGACAGGTACTTTAAAATTAAAATTATATTATGCAATATTACTACATAACTACTGATTTGTTATTATCTAAACTCTGAGTTGCTCTAAGTTTGAAACATATCTTTATATCTATAATGTATAATTATAATTATAATTATGCTGTAAAGTCTTCTTTTATGATACTTTTACAACTTTTTATTTTTTTAAATTTCAAGATTTAATGATGAACTAAATTTTGTTTTATGCATATCATAAGTGAGCAGTAATTAGGATTGTAGTATCGTTTTTAATTATGTCCATTCATAACTTTGACTTCTAATGGTAACTTCTAATTAGTGTTCTCTCATAACTTTGACTTCTAACTTATAATATTTTCTAACAAGTGTCCTCTCATAAATAAGCTCTGATGTCTAGCTTTTAGTGTCCTGTCTAGTGTCTGCTCATAACTAAGACATTTGCTATTTCTACATTTATGATTGTGTTTTAATTTTTTAAGTTTTTTAATATTTTTCACTGAGGAGATTTTTAGCTGTGTAATCTGATGGTCATTTTAATACTTTATGTTAATTCAAAATTTAATTTTCAATGTTTTAAGTTTTGATGTATTGGTTAAGTAAATTAGATATTAAGAAATAAGTATTTAATTAAAAATTTGTTATTACAGTGTTTTTCAGTATTTCAAACAGTTTTGTTTATTAAAAGTGTTTATTTGTATATAGGTGTACAGTAGCTTCATTGTTAATGGTTGCCATGCAAGATGATCTGCGATTTGCGACAAGGTAGATTATATTCTCTCTTCCTCTTTCTGTAAATATTATATATACTCTAGCGTTGTTAGACACACTTTTTCTGTTTTAACAATTTTTTTTACAACCTAAAACAGCAATTTAATATATTTCAAGTGCATCTAATAGCACTTCCGTTAAAATATATATATATTTTTGCAATGTTATTCAACGCACTCAAGATATATGAAATTGCTGTTTTAGGTCGTAAAAAATTTATCAAAGTTAAAAAAGTGCGTCTTATAGCGCTAGAGTATATATAGTATATATAGTATATACAGTATATATAGTATATATAGTATATATAGTATATATATATACATATATATATATATATATATATATATATATATATATATATATATATATATATATATTTCATCCTTGTCAATTAACCATGACTTAGTTTTGTTAAAGTCTTTTGAATTTTTTAACAAATTGGTTAATTGATAAGGATGAAATACAGGTATCCTTTGATATCGTAAATTTATACCCATCAATATCATTAAAAGAAGCAACTTTAATACTTTTGGATCAATTAAATAAAAGCGTTTCTTACAAAAACTCAACTAAACTTACTTTAACTGAAACAAAACGACTAATTGAATTTTGTTTATTTTGTTGTTATTTCTTGTGGAATGGTGAGATTCATGAGTTGGAGAATTCAGGCCCGATTGGATTGTCTTTTATGGTTGTTTTGGCTGAATCTTTTTTACAATACCATGAAGAAAAGGCAATAAATATGGTAACAAAAATGATTCCTTTAATTGATATTAAATCCTTTCATAGATATGTAGACGATAACCACTCTAGGTTTTCTAACTTGAAGCAAGCGGAACAGTTCCAAACAATTCTTAACAGACAACATCATTCTTTAAAATATACTATTGAGGTTGAAAACAAAAATAAGATACTTAACTTTTTGGATATAACTGTTATTAATAATACACAAGAAAAACATGAGTTCAAGGTTTACAGGAAGGATGCTACAACCAATATCCAAAGCAAACCTCATTCTAATCACGATCCCAAAATTTTAAAAGCAATATTCAATAGATACATACACAGAGTATACTCAATATGCAGTGAAAACCATTTAAAAGATGAGATAAATTTTCTAATTCAAGTATTTACTGCAAATGGGTATGATGAAAAAATGCTTAAAGATATTTCTTATCAGGTTCAAAAAAAATGTTTGGCAAACAAAAATGAAATTCTATCAAACTCTAATAACCTTCCTACAATCTCTTTACTGTGGATACCAATAATATCTCCCAGACTTAAAAGAATATTCAGAAAAGCTGGTTACAGAACTGTTTTTAAATCAAATGCTAACTTAAAAAATGCTTTTAACGTCTAAAGATAAATCAAAATTACCACGCAATAGCACCCCAGGAACCTATTTAATTAAGTGCAAATGCTTCAAAGTGTATGTTGGTGAAACCAAACTTCAAATACGAACAAGGTTTCAAAAACACCAAAAATTTTTGACTGAAGGCAAGTTAAACCAGTCTGCATTAGCTTTGCATAAAGTAAATTGCAATGAGGACATTGAATGGAATAAAGTAGTAACACTTAAAGTTGAGAATAAAAATTTGAAAGAAAAGTCCGTGAGGCCTTTGAGATACAAAAACATCAATGTTCTCCAATGTACGGTGGTATGAATTTGGACAATGGACAATATTTAAATACAAATTTTTGGACTTCATTTTTTTTTGTACTTAAGTAAAAGAAGCCATTATAAAGGTGATGTCAAAATTTAAAATTTTTGTTGTTATTTTAACGGTCACAATTTTTGTAATTATATATATGCTGGTGATGCCGGTATTTAGTATTGAGTATTGAGAGAATTCGTATTATCTGATGTTTTAAATTAGTTTATATATATATATATATATATATATATATATATATATATATATATATATATATATATATATAATATTAATATATACATATATAAACGTATATATATATGTGTGTGTGTGTATATATATATATATATATATATATATATATATATATATATATACATATACATATACATATACATATACATATACATATACATATACATATATATATATATATATATATATATATATATATATATATATATATATATATATATATATATGTATATATATATATATATATATATATATATATATATATATATATATATATATATATATATATATATATATATATATATATATATATATATGAAAAGTTTATTTTTTCAAAGGCAGTTTCCAACATAATGAAATATTTTAATAACTAAATAGTTTAACTAAAAACATGCTTTATTAATAACACTATGATGACAACTAAAATAAAGTTTTATAAAATTAATGTTTATTTTCAGTTTTCAAAACGCTGTATAATCAAATCCTATAATATTTTAATTCTGAATTTAATGCTGTTGCTGCTGGTTTTGCTGTCATTACTCATCTGTGAGTGTTTGACACAAGTCATCGTAGCCATTACACACAAGTTAATTGCAAGAAAGAGTCACAGTGCTTTTTGTATATGAAAATGTGAATGAAAGTGTATGCAAATATCAAATTTATGTAAACTTCAAACTAAGTAATGTTAAAACATATATCAAGATTTACAGTTTAGCTTTTACTTTAAAATTGAATTGCGGCAACATTTCTTTAATTTTGATTTATAGTATTTATTTGCTGTTTTATAAAGTCTTTTGTTTATTAAATAGTTTTGAAATGTTTATTGAACAACATGCCTTAGTGGCCAAAGTGGTTAGGTTGCAGCATTCTGAAGTGAAATGCTGTGGTTCAATTTCTTTGTTTTTACACTTTTTTTTTTTTTTTAAATCTTTTTTGATTTTTTAAAATAAAAAATAAAACATATTTTAAGTTCAATAGATATTTTTACTTTTATAAAGTTTTTTTTTTAATTTAAAAATTGCATTGCGGCAAAATCTCCATAATTTTGATTTAAAGCATTTGCCATTTTACAAAGTTTCTGATTTTTGTTTTTTAAATAGTGTTAAAAATTGGCAGTTTAGTGTGTCTGTTAGCCTGTTTGTCGGCTATATCAGATAGAACCCAACTAGTGGAATCGAGAAATTCCACTACTTGCGTTCTATCTGGTAGTTTGGCTTTTTTAATACTGACTAGAATAAGCATTAATATAGAAGCATCTTGTTACACTTTGTTGGTATTACTATAAATCTCTGAATAAAAATCTCTTTCTAAAAATTTTGTGATTACAAAAAAAAAAAAAAAAAAAAAAAAAAAGTTTAGGAAAAATCTCTTTCTAAACAGATTATCTGGTGTAAAAGCTCGATCATAAAATAAATCAATTAAGAGTTTAAGAATTTTTCTTCCCCTTGCTGAGCATTGCTTTTTCTTTTTTGTGATTTTAATGCTAAAATAATATATTCATCTAAACAGTCCTTATCTGCCATCTTTACTTATTAATATGAGATATTTATTGTGCTTATGCAGTTACCTTGATATATCCTCAAATTGGTCAAAAAGTTACAGCATTTTGAAATTTATTTTAAAAAATGATACTGTGTTTTGAAAATCATTCTGTGTTTTAAAAATTTTACTGTGTTTTAAAAATCTTACTGTGTTTTGAAAATTATTTTGTGTTTTGAAAATCATTTTGTGTTTTGTAAAAAATTTATTTTTGAGCTAAAAATTGGGCAATTGATGCGATTTTTTTAAAAACATCATGCTTTGAAAGTAAGCTCTTCATATATATATATATATATATATATATATATATATATATATATATATATATATATATATATATATATATATATATATATATATATATATATATATATATATATATATATATATATATATATATATATATATATATATATATATATATATATATATATATATATATATATATAATATATATATATATATATATATATATATATATATATATATATATATATATATATATATGAAGAGAAATATTAATATGTATATTAATATATATGTATATTAATATATATATATATATATATATATATATATATATATATATATATATATGAAGAGAAATATTAATATGTATATTAATATATATATATATATATATATATATATATATATATATATATATATATATATATATATATATATATATATATATATATATATATATATATATATATATATATATATATGAAGAGAAATATTAATATGTATATTAATATATATATATATATATATATATATATATATATATATATATATATATATATATATATATATATATATATATATATATATATATATATATGAAGAGAAATATTAATATGTATATTAATATATATATATATATATATATATATATATATATATATATATATATATATATATATATATATATATATATTAAATCATGTTATTTTCTTAAATATATTTGGTGGTGGTGGTACATTGGTAAAGCATTCACTTATATTGGTACTTATATTGGTAGAGCACTTATAAGTGAAAACTACTAAGTTTAATTCCCACCCTTTTTTTTATTAAATATTGAGCTTCAAAGCCAGAGGTTGAGAGAAGTTTGACCACAATATTTACAAAATTTAATTTTTTAAGCTTAAAAATATGAATAGTTTCCTTAACTACCCAGTGGGCACAAGACATGTTTAAGACGTTTATAGCATATATTTAAATGTGTTGATAGGTTTTTTAGACGTATAAAATACATCATATGCCTATTAGGTGGAGTGGTCCGTTAACTCTAGTAGCCCCTTGAGTACAGTAAAAAAACTTCAGTAGTATATTTATTCACTCACTTCAGTACTCTTTTCAATGTTATTTCTGATCAAATTGACCAAACTCTTTCTCTTTATTATTCAGCCAATATCATTGTTGTTAGTGACTTTAATGCTCATCACACTGAATGACTTGATTCTAGTGTCAATGACTATGCAGGTAGTAAGAACCACATTTTTTGGTTTTTTTTTTTAATATCTAACACAAATAATCAAC